GATTTTATTTTCTTGGGTTCCAAAATCACTGTAGACAGTAGTGACTGCAGCCATGAAATTTAAAGATGATTGCTCCTTGGAAGAAAAATATGAGAAAACTAGATAGCATATTAAAAAGGAAAAATATTACTTTGCTGACGAAGGTCCGTGTAGCCAAAGCTATGGTTTTTCCAGTAATCGTGTGTGGATGTGAGTTGTACCATAAAGAAAGCTGAGCACTGAAGAATTGATGCTTTTGAACCATGGTGTTGGAGAAGACTCCTGTGAGTCCCTTAGATTGCAAAGAGATCAAACCAGTCAATCCTAAAGGAAATCGACCCTGAATATTCATTTTAAGGACTGGTGTTGAAGCTGAAGCTCCACTTCTTTGGCCACCTGATGCAAAGAGGAAAAGACCCTAATGCTGGAAAAGATTGGGGGCGAGAGGAGAAGGGGGCAACAGGATGAGATGGTTGGATGGAGTCACTGACTCAGTAGACATGATTTTGAGTCAACTCAGGGAGATGGTGAGGGACAGGGAAGCCTGGCATGCTGCTGTTCATGGGGTCACAAAGAGTCTGACATGACTTCACAAATGATGAACAACAAAGTGCATCATAGGAAGCAGATTCCAAGTCATTTTGCAAAGGAAAAGACCAAAAATTGAGACAAAAGCTAAAAGTATGGTAGATGGGAATCATATAATATGAAATCAAATTCATATCTTTGTGTGTTGTACTTCTCAGCCAACTTTTTCAGCCCCAAACCTCCCTTCATTTGTGCATTCCTGCCTCAGCCTCGCTCTGAACTCTTAAAGCCCGAACCTCTCTCTCTGTCTCTCTCTCATATCTTCATGCCATCAAACCCCCAGCCCTAGTTGCATGTGCAGCCTCTCTTTGTTTTGTATTTTTGTTCTCCCTCTCATCTTCATGCCACTTATGTTTTTTGTTTTTTAGTGTTTATATATTTTAATTTTGGCCTATGGAGGAAATCTCTTGCTATCAAGACCCAACTCCTGCATTTGTGGGCTGTACCCCATCCCCTCTAACCTTCACCCAGACTTTGCTTCTTTGGCCATTTCCTGTCTTCTGTGCCATTAATTGCTTTATTTCTGTAGGATTATTCCTATTAATACACACACACATTTTTTAAATGTTTCCCATTAAAAATAATAACAAATAAACGAGTCACAACTCTGCCTCCCTTCCTTTTTAAATAACAAAGCCCCTCCCATATCCATTCCTTAGGTTTGGCTTATTTCCCTGTTTTTCCTTCAATGCTGAATTTGTTACATACTTGTTCTCATAAACTCAGTTTTCCCACTTCATTATTAACTGTTTACCCTTCTACCATGTTTTATTTTCCTGTTAGGTGATCATATTAATGCATATTGGTTTAAATACCAAAATTAGAAGTATTTAGAAAAATGGATTCACACAATTAAATCTGAGAATATTGTAGAAGAATATAGATCCTAAAAAATGTAGGGGTCTTAAAATATTTCAGTATTGTAGGACTCTAAATGTAACTTAAGTTTTCCTGTAGTACTAAGATTCTTTCACTGGGAATTATTTTCTCAAAGAAATAAACAGCTAATTTTAGTCTTTATAAATGAGTTATTGCTTATGTGTTCTCCTGAATGTTATATGTTCAGTCCTCATTATTTGTTGATTCTGTACTTGCGATGTGCCTAATTGCTAAAATTTATTTGTAATCCCAAAAGTCATACTTGTGGTGCTTTTGAAGTCATTTATAGAAATATATGCAGAGTGGTAAAAAATTTGAGTGACTTGTTCCCAGCTGAGGCCTAGGTTCCCAGCTGAAGCTTTCTTGTTGTACGTTTCATATTGTAATCAGGTGTCCTTTTTGTGGTCTAACTAGTTCATGTTTTCACATTTTTGCTTTTTTGGTGACTTTGCTATTTAAAATGGCCCCCAAGTATAGTGCTGCAGTGCTTGATGTTGAGTGTTCTAAGCTCAAGAAGATTATGATGTGCCTTATGGAGAAAATTCACTAGAAATATTCACAGATACCAGGAAAATACTATACTTAAGATTACAGTTATTAGATAAGTTTTGTTCACACCTGGGTTTTATTATTGTTGACCATGAATTTAATATTAATGAATCAACAGTATATATTAAGGTATCTTTAAACAGAAACACACATAAAACAAGTGTTTATACTGATTGATTGAAGATGTGACTGGAGGCTTGTGGGAACCTAACCGTGTATTTCCCCTAGGAGCAATGGTTCAGTGTTCGCGGCGACTTTATAAAGCATAACTACCGCGAATAACGAGAATTGACTGTAAGTTAAAATTCTGGACTTGGACTGAAATTACAGGAAGTGCCTCCTTACCCATGTTAAGTATAGTTTAGGGCATTTCGGTTTGGGATATATATTCTATTTTAAAACCCTTAAGAGAAGAACATTCATTCATTGATCCTTTTTGAGCACTTACTATATGCCAGTAACTGTACTAGTTTTGAAGTATACAGGAACAAGTAAGTTACAAAATCTTTACTCCAAAGATCTGTCAGCTAGAGGAATATTCCATTTTACCCCAGTCAGTCTGATACCAACTGCAGTTCAATTTTGACACTGGCTACCTGGAGTTAGTCGAGATTCCATCGGTTAAAGGCAAAATCCTTCATAAAAATGCATAGTCTTTGGATGCCAACTGCAAGTTCTTGGGATCCCTGGGCCATACTTTAGACAACCAGAATTTCCATGACCCCCTCAGGTTCAGTAATTCTGTATAACAACTAGGAGAAAAGAAACTGCAGTGATTACAGTTTTATTAATATAAAGATTACACATTGGATGAGGTTTGGGAAGGAGCACAGCGTTTCCATGTCCTCTCCCTGCAGAATCAGCATGTCACTCTCCAGGTACTTCAGTATGTTTAACAGCTAGGAAGCTCCTCGGAGCTTTGGTGTCTAGAGATTTTATGGAGTTTCATTACATAGGCATGATTTTAATCATTGGCTGCATGATTGAAACTTAATCTTCAACAGCCTTCCCATTCCTGGAGGTCAGCTGGCTGAAAGTTCCAGTTCTAATTGGGTGGTATTTCTGGTGATCCGCCTCCATCCTGAAGCTATAAGTGGGGCAGTAACCAGCTATAGTCTTTATTATACCACAGAGAGATTGCCTTATAGAGCATCAAAGGTAAATTAAAAGTTTGCCAGTAGTGGCACAGGTATTTCAAGCAGAGGGAAGGATATATGCAAAAATGCCAAGGGATGAAAGAATTTGTGGAATAAATGTCACTTAGTGTAGGTGGAAGGTCATGTGTGAAAGGGTGGTTCTTTTTTTAATTGGAGGATAATTGCTCTACGGTATCATGTTAGTTTCTGCCTACATCAACATGAATCAGCCGTAGGTGCACATGTGTCCCCTCCCTCTTGGACCTCCCACCCACCTCCCACCCCCAAAAATGGAATTCTTGAGTCTGATGAAGTAGACAGTAGATTGTGAAAGGCTATTAAAATAAGAGGTCACAAACTCTATATTTGGCGTTGTAATGTGTATTTTAACTTTAATGCAAATGTTTAAACATATACAAAGAACAGACAGAATGATATCATGAACATATAACAAATATAATGAGCTCCCATGTATTCATTACAATAACTGGTGGCCAGTTTGTTTCATCTGTACTCCCTTCCCCTCTTCCCACCAAAATTATTTTGTAGCAAATATTATTATTATTATTATTTCATTCATAGATATTTTGGTGTATATCTCTAAAATATATGAACTTTTAAAAAGTTACTCTAATCCCATTATCACAGCTAAAAATTTTAACAATTTCTTTATATCACTAAATATTCAGTCGTTACTCACATTGCCAGTTCAGCAATATTTTTAAAACAGCAAATCAGCAGTAGCATTTTTTAAAAATTGAGGTATTTCACTTTAAAAATCTAGATTTTTGTGGTTGAAAAATTGGAATATCTTTCAATACAAGGTGTCTGTTTCTTTTTCACAACAGGACATTGGTTGGTGTCTTTGCTTAGCTGTCTTACTCACTGCTTTACTCTGTGAGGAGTCTTGGAAAGGATTTACGCATGCATATATGCCTTGATAGGATTTGCATTATGGAAAAAAATAAATGTGGGATTAGAATGCGTTTAGGAGAGAGCCTAGGGGAAAAGAAGAGGAGTTTTGCCATAGTCATCTAGAGAGGAAGATACGCTGAACTGAGGTCCTTTCAGGAAGTAGGCAAGTTTGGAACTTGAGGTAAAGAACAGAGGTAAAGAACATAATTAATGCTAATATATGGAAAGGGTGTTTTGAAGGTAAAACCCAAATGTCAAGCTTAGGTGGCTGACAGATAGGAAGTTCAGGTGAGACAGGAAATTGCAAATGAGCAGGTGGGTGCTTGGGAAGGAATAAACGACTTGTCTGGGTATTTTGACTGGGTAGTAGAGGTAAATACAATCAGATGTTTTTGGAGCCCTAACCAAAGAGGGTTTGATATGGTTAAGAGTAAAGGGTTTTGTTAATATAGCAATTCACTCTAATTCTTAGATCAAGTTTGAGAATTCTCTAGCTAAATTAAAGGAAGGAAAGAAAGCAAAGACTACTTGTAGTTTGGGGGGCATTCAGAGGACTCTTAAAGACAAATAACAATTCCTTCTGTGTAAATGAAGGATGGGTAGAGAATTTGAATGTGTTTCTGCAAGCTTGCCTGCAGAGTTCACACTCCATTTATTGTTAAAGTAAGACAATAGGATCTTACTATATTTTAATAGTGTATCAGTTGTAAGAGAAACACCTACAAACAACATTGTAGAGTCTGGCATCTAGTAAGTGCTTGGTGGGTGTTTGCTGAATTTGAATCTAAACCTTTTAAGGCTGAAGCTGTTGTATCTGTTCACATTAGAGTTTTTCACCTGATATTTCCCTACAGTGTCTTCCCAATTAGGAAACTCAATAAATGTATGTAGAGTAAGTGAATAATTCTGGTGGTTTTAATTCTTTATTTAAGAAGAATTAAATTTTTTTCTTAGTTTGAGATGGTATCAACACCCTACAGAAGAAGAACTAAGAATTCTTGCAGGAAAGCAGCAAAAAGGGAAAAGCAGAAAAGACAGGTAAGTTATATGGTTGAGTTTGTAAAGTGTTAAAATATTTTACATAATTTATGGAAATATATTTTGGTACTTTGGTTAAAGTAACATATACGGATTATGCTATAAATGGAAAATCTGAAATCAAAATCCATGGTCTAAAATAATATTGACTTGCCATTTAAGAGCACCCAATATGTAGTAATCTAATATGTAAGCACAAAGATGAAAATTTTACTTGAAATTGTTAGTGGGGAGTTGAGAGACCCATAACCTGTGTCTTTGCAACTCATTTAAAGATAGCAGTTGGTTTGGGTTCTTTGCCAGATTTTGCTACCACTCAGAAATTGGGCAAATTCATTTGCTTTTTACCTCTGTTTTCTCTTTTTTGTTGTTGTTGTTTTTTTTTAATAAAAGGGGTGAACAGTATAACTTCTTAGATCCTGTACAGGCTCTTAAATATTATATTTAAAGTTTATGAAGAAAATTGCCTGTAAATAAACCTCACTTAATAGACTCCAGCAGCCTCATCTGTGAAGGAGAAGGACCAAACAGTAATTTTGAAAGATTCTTCCAGCTTTAAAATTTTATGTCCTTATTTATATTGAATCTTCATAGAAAGTACATGTCAGTTAGCCTCTCTAAATGGGCCTTAGTTTCCTTAACTGGGGAGAACTTCCTAGGATATGAATCTGTGATTCTGATATATTGTAAAATGTCAGTGACAACATATTATTACCAATTCCTCATGTATATCATAAAAATTATATTAATGTGGGTGAATGGATTTATAGGAACTGAAAAGTTTTTTTGAACATAATGATTATTTGACATGAAATTGGAAGTTTAAAAAGTCTTGTCTTTTCTGATTTGACCACCATTTTCTTTTTCACTTATTACAAATACACCTTGAAGGTCATTGGAATATTAAGTGTAAATCCTCCTTCTTTGTATTCCAGTGGTTATATTCTTTAATAAAATATTTCTGTCAAATATTAAAATTTTCAAAGCACTTTTATACGGCTTTAATTCATGCAATAACCCTAAATATTCATTATTAATTTAATTTATATTTTGCTGATAAGAAAAGTGTTGCTTAGAGGTGTTAAATGAGTTGCTCAAGTTCATGTAACTTATTAGGCGTCAGGATTTTAATCCAGGTCAATTTTTAGTTTCTACATTTCTTTTTAACTACTCTGCATTTGCCTTTCACAACTGCCATGGCCAACATTTGTGAGCTTAGGAGTATAGTACTTATTTTGTAAGCATCTGAATTCTTATTATATGCCTTGTAGCCAATAATTTTGTTATTTTTATAATAATTTTTATATGTTGAAAATGCTTTACATTTACAAAAAGATACATTAACAATACTATCTTGTTTTAGTAGCAGTAATTATTTGATTTACTGACATGAACTAGAATTTTTATTGGGGTTTTCCCAGTATATACTTATTTAAGAATAAATACAAAGTCATTTCTTGGTATTATAATTATTGTTACTGAAACTTAGTTTATTGCTTTTGATTTATGTTTGTGTTTAAAAATTAAATTTGGAAATAATACACATGCACCTGAAGAATTCTGTTGTTTTCCTCCACCCATGATTCTTTGTAAAAGCAGCTCTGAACTGGCCTTGCACATTTCTGAATTTCTCATGCACATAAATCTTCATATATTTTTTCAGTTCTGATTTGTTTATAGCTACAGGTCTGTTTACATGTATGTATGTGTGTACGTGTATAATTTCAAAGTGAAATGCATTTTGTCTTCATTTCCTTTTACTTGTGTGCCTCAGGAAAGAGATGTTAGGGCTGTCTTTAAATCTCCAGAAGAGAGCAGGAAAAATGGGGTGAAATGGTAAGCTAGCAGTCAAGGTTTTGTTTCTGTCACTAGTATAGGTAACTCTTTTCCTGATAATCTGTATGTTCTCTTAATAATTTACATCCATATTTTGTAGTTCCCCTTTTGAAAACTGCTTTTTAGTGCCTTACCTCTTTTTGATAAAATATTAGAACTTCTGCCTCTTTTTCGCTGTGAAATTTATAACCTTATTTGTAGTTAGTTTGATACAAACACTTGAATAACAGTGAGGGTAACTTGTTTTTTGTGTCACTTGTCTGATTTTTATAGGAAATATAATGGTCACATTGAAAGTAAGCCACTAACCATTCCAAAGGATATTGATCTCCATCTAGAAACAAAGTCAGTTACAGAAGTGGATACTTTAGGTAAGGGAAATCTGGGTAAAGTGTTCTGTAAATCTCAGTTTTATATTATGCTAGTGAAAGTACTTGAATTTATCTTTTGTTGTTAGATTCTTTTGTTTTCCTGATCATTAAGTCCATTATACAGACTATGAAATCTTTCTCAAAGCTAAGAAGCTCAAAATTACTTCATCTGAACTGAATTTGTTTTTCTATCCACCTGACTTATAGTAAGCCTTATTTTTCCCCATTTTTCAGAAGAGGCTGTCTTATGCAAATTTGTTACACAGTTTTTGTATATGCTGAGATTACAGTTTTTACTATCTCAAATTCTAAGTTGCCATCTGTATCAGTTTACATGTTGTATAATGTTGCTTGTAGAAATGCATCTATATGTTTGTATTAAACTACCTATATTTAAAGCAGTTCAACTTTATGTTATATTTAGTAAAAAGGAAAATGGTTTTAGAGTGATGAATTGGATTAGAAATAGAAAATTTTACTTATTCAAGATTTTATTGGATATCTCTGAATAAGTCAATTTTCCCCCTGTATATTAGTGTTTAAAATTATATAATAACTATAATGATTTTAAATTTAAAGTGAAATTTATATGAAATTATTCAAATCCTAGAAGAGAAAAGCATTTAAGGTGATATTGTTTAGAACACTAGTTTTCAGACCTGGCTGTTTATCAGAACCACTTAAGCAGCTCTTTAAAGATAAAGATTCTCTTATACCTACCCTTGATGAGTCAGTAAATCTAGAGTGGTTTCTGAGAATTTGTATTTTTTAAAATGTTCTGCATGGTTCTGATATTTTGACTAGGTTTAAGAACTACAGTTTTACATGATAAGTAAGAAATTAAAATGACATTTAAAAAGTAATTTTGATAATGCTGTGTAATGTATCATTATGTAATTTGGTCCTTCTTGGATTGAATCACACCACTACACAAAAATGTTAATAGAGTCACTTCACATCTCATAAAGAATTACTTTGTGAAACAAGGTGGCTTCAATACATTTGAAAGTTGATGCTACATTTACAAGATTGTATGTATGTGTGTGTATATATATATGGAAAGGGAATTCCTACAAAGTGTCAGTGATGAACAATATACATTAGTTGTCTAGTGTTATTCAGACTATTGAGACTGGTTACCTCATCCCCCTTTTTTTCTTTTTAACTATATTTCATGCAAAATTTAAAACGTGTAAAAGCAGTTGAACTTTTTGATTAGTTATCCCATTCGTTTTGTTAATCTGATAGGTGTGGGTACTTGTACAAGAATACTTAATACACGTTTCCTGATTTCTAAAACAAAATTTTGCTGTTCTTACTAATAATTGATGTTTAATGGATAATTTCAGCTAATCAACCTTAATAATAGTTTAAATTGACTACTTATCAGACATTGTTTTAAGTGCTTTATTTGTATTATGTTGCCCTCACAGTTCTATGAGGTATATAACTATTACTGACTTTTTTTCAACTTGTTAGATAGAGAAGTTAAATAACTCTGAATGTGGTAGAGACATTTAGCGAGAGTTAGGCTACTTAATGAACGTAAAAAATTGAAGTTAGGGGTAATGTGGCTTCAGCTTATTCAGTATTTTGTTTTACAATTTTGAGCAATAATTTGCAAATTGTGCTTGTTAAATAACTGATCATGTAACATCAAGATTATTCTAGTTAATCAGAATAACAGAGAGATGTTATTTATGTAATCATTTGTGAATGCATGCTCTGTGTCTGTTTATGTAAAAGTAGAGGGTTTTCTACCTGACCTTTAGGTGCTCTCAGGAGGCTAATACAAATCACTGGAATTGATGAATTCTCAGTTTTTAGTGCAATATTCTATTGAGAGGCGTGTATATAATTACATTATTGAATACAGAAAGAAGAATGTAATACTTGAGTTATATATAGAACCAAGAATATATATAATTTATTCTTTTATTGAATGTATGTATTATTGATAGACCAATAACTTTCTTAAAAGTCTTTCAGTTTGTATTAGCTATCTGTTAGACAAGTCTCTTGAAGAACATAAGAACATTTGAATGTCTCCTGTCTGTTTGCTGTGAATGAGTTCCCTGGGGGAAGCCTGTGTGAATGTGGGCAGGCATGGAGAATTAGAGCATTTACTTTAACTTTTGTTAGTATAAACTGAAATAAGTTTAGATAAACAGGTATTTGTCTATCTGTTTCAACCATTTCTCTGCTGTCCTTCCAGAAAGTTATTTAAAAAGTTCAACTGAATGACTCTACAAGGGAGGAGAGGGTTCTGCAGAGTAGGATTTCTTCAACTCCTTTAGGGTAAATCTTTCAGACTGATGTTGAGAAGTTATTAGGTCTATTACAACAAAAAACCTAAAGCAGTTAAAATAGCTTGAAGGCAAAATAAGTGTGTTACATTGACATGAATAAAGAATATACCTAATTATGAAAGGAATTGGAAGTTTTGCTGTCACCTTGTAAAGATTTAAGTTTGGTTAGTTTATTTTCATATTTTAAATAAGTCTTATTTTGAGTGGTATTTTATTTTTAAAAGCCATTTTTTTTAAAATTCTGATTTTAAAATATCCTCAGGTGTTACATTTTACAACTAAAATTTTCCCAGAGTAATATAGATCATTTTATTATGTGCCAGTGAGAACATAGGAAATGGTGTTCTGGTATATGATATATTTCCGCATTTCTAGAAGGTCTTTTGCAAAATGATGTTGATCTTTGAGACTATTCTCTGGCAGAAATAAACCAGAATATCCAAGAAAAGGGAATGGAATTATACTTTTAGACAATGTTAATTTTAATGTCAACCCTTAAGGATGGAAGTTTGTTGAAGGAGTATGGTTTTATGGAGAATTGACAGGCATTTCTTGAACTTTTCTTCTAGAGAATAAAAAGTATATTTTCTTAATTTATTATTTTAGCCTGCAGTAACTCACAAAATTACTAATCCTCCGTTAGTAAGGTTAGTAATATGTGACTTGAAGTCCAACTCTCTTGTTTCACAGAAATGAATATAAGGAAATCTGTATAGTACTCTATCAAGTTATATTCTAAAGCTAAAATATTATTGCTCAGATTCTTTATTTTTTTAAGTAATGATTTATAATTTCTGTGAAAGTTAATCATTTAAAAAATACCAACTCATTTTGCAATCAAATTTTTAACAACCGTTTAAATAACTTTTGTTAATCATTTCAGTTTTATTATTTAATTTACAATGTATTGAAGTTTTGTTTTGGATGCCAATATTCTCAGTCTGTTTCTCACATTTTTAGATTCTCATATTCGCACACCTTACACGGCAAATCATCAAACAATAAAATCTCACATTTGAAGTTAATTAATAGATAAATCTTCCTAAAGCTGTTTTTCAGTTTAAGTAAAACTTTCTTTTTTAAACCTTTGTTTTTCAGCATTGCATTACTTTCCAGAATACCAGTGGCTGGTGGATTTCACAGTGGCTGCTACAGTTGTCTATCTAGTAACTGAAGTCTACTACAGCTTTATGAAGCCCACACAGGAAATGAATATCAGCTTAGTCTGGTGCCTGCTTGTTTTGTCTTTTGCAATGTATCCTTCAAAACATCATTAATATTAATTTATGAATTTGTTTTCCTTTTACAGCTAACACTATTAGATCTCGTCTCTGATTTAGAAAGGATTTTAGATTATTAGAGAATGTTTCTTTGTTGAAATCCTCTTTATATACTTGAAAAAAAATTTTTTAATGGAGGTAGATAGTTTAGAAGGTGAAATACAAGGAAAGAAAGCAATTCCCTGCCTTTCCTTTCCCGTCTGACTCATGTCACAGAGGGAGCCCCTTCTACCTTTTTTGCAGATTTTTTTTTTTTACCCTTTTTTTTTCTTACCCTTCTTTGCAGATTTCCTTCCTCATGTTTAAATAATACATGATAAAATAGTGTTTTTTAAATTTTAAATATTATTGCACCTTTCTCCTTTGCTTTCCTCCTTCCTTCGTTTCTTTCTAAATATGGAGACAATTTTTTTTTTTAAGAAATCAGAAAATATACTTTATTTGGACTTAAAAATTTTGCCCAATAGTTATTTTAAATGCATGAGCCTTTGTGCGCACACACGCACACACACACACACACACACACAGAAGTTATCATTCTGATAGTGGTGCTTGGGAAATTTGTTGCTTGTGCTTGGGACATTCATGTAGAAGAAGAAATTAGGAAGTCAAATGAACAAACTAGAGGAAAAGTATGGTCATTTCTTGACTCTGGGATTGTTGAAGTTAGTGTCTGAGGATATTTGGCATGATTGGACCTTCTAAAAACTTTTAATAAATTTTTTAGTTTCCAATAAAACCTCTAGGTTTACTGATAACACTGAGGACTTCACAATACTTGGATTCCTAACATGTTCTAAGAATAAGAAGTTGGGCAGATTGTTAATGTCATGTAGCTTGGTTTCTTGGTCATATTAATATGACTCCTCTCAGACCAAGATATGCATCAAAGTTAACATAATACATTTTTCTTTTTTTTTTTAAAATTAGAGGATAATCAGTTTACAATGTTGTGTTGCTTTCTGCCATATAGGAACATGAATCAGCCATAAGTATGCATATGTCCCCTTCCTCTTGAACTTCCCTCCCACTCCCTTCCCTCTAGATTATCACAGAGTACTGGGTGGAGCTTCCTGTGTTATCCAGCAACTTCCCATTAGCTGTCTGTTTTACATGTGGTAATGTACGTGCTTCTGTGCTGCCCTGTCAATCCGTCCCACCCTGGGAGACAACTTTTTACTTAAATCAGTAGTTGCTTTCAGTTACACTGATGAAAATATTATTTATAGTTAAACATTGTAGTATCTTATTATTCTCCTTGAACAACTTTCTATTCTTATTGTATAGAATTTAAACTCTATAGAATTCTAAGCCTTAGTGGTTCAGATACATTCTTTTTTTTTTAAATTGAAGTATAGCTGATCTGCAGTATTATATTAGTTTCATATTTATAGCATAGTGATTCAGTATTTTTAGATTATACTCCATTAAAAGTTATTATCAGGTGATGCCTCTGATTCCCTGTGCCATGTGATATATCCTTAGGTTAGTTAGATTAGCGTTAGTCACTCAGTTGTGTCCAACTGTTTGCAAATCCCTGGATTGTAGCCTATCGGGCTCCTCTGTTGATGAAATTCTCCAGGCAAGAATACTGGAGTGGATTGCCATTCCCCTCTCCAGTGGATCTTCCCAACCCAGGGATTGAACTCTGGTCTCCTGCACTGCAGGCAGATTCTTTACTGCCTCAGCCCCCAGGGAAGCCCAGAGGGTGAAAGGCGCCCCTGAGCGGGCTTGAACTGTGTTCGCTTAACAGCTGTATCCTCCTTATCTATCTTATTCGTAATAGTTGCTTGTACCTCTTAATCCCATGCCTCTAATTTTCTCCCCCTCTTCTCTCCCCTTTCATAACCACTAGTTTGTCTTCTGTATGTGTTTTTTGGGGTTTTTTTTTGGCCATGCTGCATGGCATGCAGGGTCTTAGTTCCCTGACCAGGACTCCCTACAGTGTTGAAAAGAAACTCTGGTTAGTGAGATGTTAGATTTCTTTGAATGATTCTTTGACTTTTATCTCTCCATTTATTTTATACAGTTTTCTTGATTTTTCTCTTACTTTTCTCTTTACCCTTTTGTTAAATTTTTATGTCAACTTAAAAAAAAGTTAAGACTTCTTTGAAAGCTCCATTTTCATAGCAGTTGTGTGTCATGGTTGTGTAATATCTTTTAAAGAACATTAATAGCTTTTATGCTTAAATTTGCACGTTGCATTCTTTATTTTCTGAGTCTCCCTCTTCCTCCCTTTTTGTTTTAATCACTGTCATGTTCAAGATTGTTCTGGAATGTCTTATGGTCTTTGAGTATCCATTTATATTCGGAAGGAGGGGTTAAAAATTGGAAGTTTCTTGCAAGTGGCTGGAGCTTGTTGACTGGTAGGCTTTTTAGTGGCTAATTGAGCGAAGGTCTGGCACTGTCCCATGTGTGGGATCTAAGCCTGACAACTAGTGTTATGCGAGCTGATTGGGGAAGGCTCAGAGACTCAACATTCGGTATGCAGGCATTGATTTAAATGCATGTCTGGGTCCTCCCCCTGCCCCTGTTCTCAGCTCTTCATTGTCACCTGAAGTTTCACCTAATACCCCCAAGCCCAGTCTTTTCTGGTTTAATATCTTTAAAATTTAATTCTTCTGGGTTCTGCCAAAACTGGGGGAAAGCCATCACTTAATCTCTGTAAGTCGGCAAAACAGAAGATCTGGAAAGTCTAATTATACTAATGCAGTCATTCAACCAACCGTCTTGTTTTCCTACGTTTTGCAACCGTGCGTTTGGAGGCCCGCTGCTGGCTCTAGTTCCTGACTTTTGCACCGTGTTTTATAAACGAATTGCCTTTCTTCTCACTGGGTTCCGGGCCTTGTACATCTCACATAGTGAGACAATTGAAGCCTGAATTAGTTACTACTTGTGTGTTTATGTCTTCCAAAATTTGTTGTGATTTTTTTTCTACTGTCATTTATTTTCCTATTCTTTGTTTTGGGGAGTTCTCCTTTCTTCCTTGTGTGGTTTATTTAGTCAGAGTTGGGGAGTAAGAGAATTAATAGATGTTTTCCATCTTTTATTTCAGCCAGTGGCCACTGAACTGTCTTTTAAACTTGTTATGGGATACCATTTAAAATACATGATGGGATTTGATATTCAGCACCACTGTGTTATCCTTCTGTTGACTCTTTTGGATTGATTTAGGTATAATTTAGAGTAGAATAGCCAGAACAAAGCCTTAAGAGTTGATATCTTCACAAGATTTATATTGTACTGGGTATAAATACTGATCATGTGTGTTAGCTGAATAAGACCTCCAGATATTCAGTAGTATACTTATTGAAGAGCAGATTAAATTCAAGGGTTTACAATATTACTATTTAGCTCTGTAGTATTAAATAAGTGAAAAATCATTTAGTCAGAATGAACAGCATCCTTAGACATCGTCATATTAAACATACTGAAAATATTATAACTTGATAATTAGCACTAACTGAATATGTCATTACTTTTGCATATTGTGAGTTTTTATGTTCTCTGAAACATTGTTTATTATGAAATATTCTTGGTTTTGTTTCATTCTTTGTTTCGTAGCTATGACAGATTTATGTAAAAATGCATATCGTGATACCCAGTTTTATTTAATGTGATAGAGCCTTTAATGTCTACTTACCAGAAAAATTAGAAAAATGTACTTCTTAATAGCTATTCAAAGTATTGTTTATGTGAATAAATTTTTTACCTTTCATTTCACTCAGTAATGCCTGATAATGTGAGAGCAAAGGTCCTAAGCAGTCTTCAGCACTGAACTGGCTCTACTCAGTTTGAAGTAGTGCACTTGTAGAAGGCACCAAACAATAGCATCCCTGCAGGGATCTAGTCGCTGGCTGTCTCTCCATCCCAGGGAGGACAGAAAGTGGTGAAGGGCTTTGTAATCCAGGCTATTTTCTGCCAACTTTGACCCTCCTCAAAGCGAGTAGGGAAGAAGAAGGAAAGTAGAATTGTGTATATGCTTGGGTACATGATTTTCTTTAGAACGTGTAGCATGTGAGAAAATGACCTGCTACCTTCAATGGCATGCAGGAAACCAGAATTAAATGCCTGATATCCAGATTAACTCCAAAGACGAGTCTGTTAATAGCCTTTTATCTTAGTTATAACATATCTGGTATGCCTTTCACACCCTATGAACAGTCTAGCTGCAGTGACCTCTGTCTGGCTTCTCTTTATTTTCTTATTGTATGTGCCTACTTATTAGTCAAACACATGTCTCCATTGATTACATAGGACAATGGCTCCACTTAATTCCAGAGTCACACATACATCAGTCGATTCAGAAATTCTCTGCAGTTGTTACTGGTGAAATAGCCTTTGTTAAAATGGTCCGCAAATTAGACACATATAACTTAAATAATTGGTTCACTTCAAAGTGAGGAAGAAAACTGTCTTACTTTTGTGCTCATTTCCCTTCTCATCAGTTTTTATTTGACATTTTTGTGTTAGACAACAATTATAATATTTACAGAATCTTGAAAGTTTTGAAAAACACAAGAATGATTTTTTAAAACATGTGACACTCAAATCTTGAACCCTGGAACTTAAAACTGGTTCATCTCTTGTTGTCAGCTCTGCTTTCTTCTTCAACTGAGGTGTACATGCATCTAAGCTATCACACCTGCTTCCAGTCTTACTCTAAAACCCATATTAATTCTCAGCTCTACTCTCTTGCCAATTTGTAATTCTAACCACAATTTGTCCAAGTCTGTATGTTCTACTTCCATTTATGCCAAGTTTATGTTACGTAGATGATAAGGGGTAAAGAAAGCCTTATAATGAGGATGGAGCAGTTTTAGTAACTGTCTTTCCTATATGATGACCCATGAAGTTTTAGTCACTGGAGAAATGTCCACTGATTTCATAATATGAAGCATATATTTTCATTTAAGAATAAGAGAAAAATATAAAGGTAAAAATGGTGCTTGCAAAATTCAGAGATCGTTTGGTA